TGACTTTCCCTACTCTTGTTACTAAATAGTTGATTCTGAAGAATTGGCTCATGGTCACAAATTCTAGCAGTTCTCCCAGATGAGTATTTCACTGGATACACATCAGTGCCACACACAGGCTTTTTGTTGTGTGTGTAATAGACCAGTACAATTCGAAACGCATTCGTTTTGACCATTATGCAATTTTATTTTACCTTTTTGGATCGAAAGCTTCTCCACCTCTGGAACCTCCTCCTGGTGTCCTCCATGCCAGCCGTTCAATGTATTCATCTGCCACAAAAGGCTCCTAGCCACAGAATAAAAACTCTTTACAACGTGCCACAGCAGGGTTGTTGCTTACGAATCATTTTGAAAGCATTTAGAAGCATTACGACAACCAAGAGCAAGTACAGCATTGACAATTACCCCATCGCCTCTTTCTTATGTTTACATATTTAATAGAGAACACTGTTTTTAGTATGGTGGGTTTGAACATCCAGTCTAGCAATTGTCAGACTACTAGAAAATGCTTCAATAGCAGGCTGAAGAGCTGGCTCTACACTACCTGTAGTCATTTCCAGGTGAGCTTATGGATTGTCATTAAAAGCATCTGCCACATGCAGCAGACCACACTGCTCTGAGATATTGTATCACCAGACTCTGCTGCAGCCCAAGAGCTTTTAGCTGCACCGCAAACCAGATCAGAGAACTGTCTAAATTTGCCTAAAAATGTCTAAATTTGTCTAAAAAATTATGGGGCAAAGTAAGTTTTGTTTGCAGATGCTCAATTCACCGATTCAGTTCACAACATGTCATCACAAGCAAAACTGACCAAGGCACTGCCCCGTGGCAAGGACAGTGCCAGATTGCCACTGGACACTGTGCAACATCCAACTGCAGCTGCAGAAACAAAGCAGATAAAAGGGAAATAACAAAGGATGAATAAAAGCAGACAATGGACATCACTTTCCCAAGAAAGCAGGACATGAATGATGCTAAAAATACAAGGTTACACAAGTTTATCCCATAATATTTGCCTGATCTTCCTCAAGAAATACTGCACAACAGTGAAGAGTTAAGAAGATTATTTTCCCACATGACAATGTTTTCTGAAGGCACAGACCTCGTAATAAAACCAAGAGCTCATATTCTAGTTGACCTAGGACTTCAATCAGCTCAAACATTTCTTCACACAGTTAATATTAAGTGCCCAAAACAATTTACAAAAACAAAGCATAATGACACCTATCCTTTAAATTAAAACCCACATTATTATTTATCCCTTCAGATTCATTGGTAACCCAGACTTATTACTTTGGTGCTAACGTTAGTATATCTGAGCTCAGTAAATAAAGTATTCTTGTAGACCCCAGGACTTCCTGGAAAGCTGTTACAATACAGGCACAAATGGGTCTAAAACTGTGCAACACAACCCAACAGAGCCAGGAGTGGCTCTGGTTGATAGTGGTACTTGCCACAACTCCATTCTGATAATGAAACACACAAACACAACATCACTGCTTTTGATAAAGCTTGGGGCAGACAGACAGAAGTAACAGGAAAGTAAAAAACGGCATTTTCATAACTAAATGCAAGGGTTGGAAAGCAAATATTGCCAGTCATTGCTCACATTAACAAAGCCACTTCAGTGTTCTCCAAAAAACACATTATGCCCCAACCAGTCGAGCCCAGCTATTAAACAGAAATATAAAAGCTTTTAAAATATATTTTGCAACTTGCCGAATCCTGCTAGACAGGGCAGAAATTTCAACAGATCACCCGGTAACTCCTCTTTCAAAGACTGACCGGAGTAACTGTTCTGCTCAGCCAGTTAGGCTGACTGGTACTTGGTGCAAGTCACTCAGCTCTTCGCCCCAGTTCTTCCTGACACACAACATTGTTTCCTTTACACGAGTCCTCTTCATCAAAAATTTTAATGCGATGTTTTCATACTAAGTATAAACTCTCTGTTTGTCATCTTTACATCTCAATGTTCGGGAATGTTTTTGCAGCTTTAATTACAGGCAAAACGAGCCATTCGATGCAGTAACACTCCCTTCAGGGGAGTCCTCCAGCTTCGTAATTGCTTTATGGCTCTTCTCAGCACTTTTCCTTTATATGAAAATCACAACCACAACTTTTCCTCTGAAGATCCCGTAATCCAGCTGGAGTACCGCTCCATTACAAGGACACCAATGCCAAATACAACTCTGTGGAAGAACCCTATACAGAGGGTGCACTGTTCAGCGATGCTGTGTGCATACATCTATGGATGCATATATATACGCACTCTCTCTATATATATCCTAAATATATATAGTGATACTACTTATAGTGATGCTTTTTTTGATCAGACAATATTTACAGGGCTTTTCTGCAAGCCAGAGTATCAAAGCCTGGTCTCTTAAGGAAGTTTGATATACATACCCTAGAACCTTAAGAAATAATAGCTGTGCCAACTTCACCCTAGCCATTACGCCTCTGTTCTCTAAATCTCCCTTGAATATACGTGAACGCAGAGTGTCTTGTCTGCAGCTCCCTCCCCTGCATCCCAAATGCCAGCAGCAAACAACTCGGTCAACTCCTAATTACACTGTGCTGCCCAGCCACAAGGCCAAACTGAAGCTGCAGCAGCCGTGTCCCCTCCACCGTCCTTTCGTGTGTCCTGCTCTTCTGCAATGCTCCTCCTGCTTTCCTCCTTCTGCAGCATCTGCATCACAAACCTGCATTGTTTTAACAATTTGACACAGCAACAGAGAGTGTTAATTAGTTTAGTCAAACCTAAATGATGGCAGAATCACTACTATGTGCAGCCATAGTATTTTAAAAAGGCATTAGCCTGGAACACGTCTGTTTAACAGGAACACTTACAGAGACTAAAAGAAGCTTAAAGTCAGGTCTCCTTTGTCATATAAACCCTGTCCTGTATTACTCAAACAGTAACCGTAGGGGATGTTATGGTGTGCAGCATGCTGACCAACAGAGTAAGAAATGAGCTCTTTCTTCTGAATTTTCACAAAGGGCAAACTAAAAATAATCTCTTTGATTTATAAAGAATAAATGAAGCTTGGGATGATCATTTTAAGACATGGTTCCATGATTTCAAATGTTCCCGCTGCAAATCCAAAGTTTTAGTTTTGTTTAAAAAAACCTCTAATATAGACTTTTTAATGTTATCTTGATAATATGGTCACCTATAGCTATCAGAGAGCCTAATTCCTATTTTAATTTTCCTCTCCAGTTCTGCAGAAACTGCTGAAAATCAGCTTTTACAAATGTCATTTGCAAGTTCTTTGCCTGTTATCTGATGAGCCTCAACAGTCAATTTCTTCACAGCTTTGAACTTCGCTCTAGCTCCAGATGAATTAACGTGATCCTATCCATTCAGCCAATACTCCTGATTTAATAAGAGATAGGCCTGAAGTGGATGATAACCTGGTTTGATCTGGTCTGTGTAAGTGAAACTAAACTGGACCCAGCCACGTTAAAATCCAGTTTAGCAATAATTATTTTTAAATTACATTTTGAATTATACACAGAAGAATGAGTCCCTGTTGTGTCCATTTTCAGCACAGATCCTTCCATATAATTTTATATATCCATATTGAAAGTTACTTTCAAACATGCTTTCATGCAAGCATTGAAGCCAAATACCACCCTCAGTATTCAGCTCAGGGTTACTCCCATAGTAAGTATCTTCATGCTCTAACCTTCATGGCAGTCACCTCAGACTAAAGTACCAGACAATATTAGTTTAGTTAATGTCCATAGAACATCTCCTGCCTTTGTAGTGATAGAGAAGTGAGAGCAGGAGAGAAAGAAATCTCAGTTTCCATATCGGAAAACAAGATTTCAAGCCTTATCTCTAGGCAAAGCTCTCGCCTACTTTGCAATTCCACCTTTATTGCTATTGCAAAATGAAACACGTTGTTGCATGATCCGGAACTGCTAAAACATACAGTTTTCTTTCCACATACAGGTCATTTCCAATTCACCATCCCACAAAGAACAGAAGCACACAGTTGTCATGTTGGGAAATCAACAGACTCCTACAGAAGAGTGTTAAGGAGGTGCAGAGAAGGCATCAGGCCTGGCATCTACCTGCTTAGAAGACACTGTATTATTCTTGCTATTTTTTTAAACTAGGCAAGCAAAAAGACATGAGTCATAACACTCATGTGTCAGAATAGTGATTCATAAATACAAGCGACCCCAATGCATTTATGTAAGAGTATACAGAGGACCCTACAGCGAGACACGAGACCTCTCCTGAGGGCTGGGGAAAGCGAGTGCTGGTGTTAACACCAAACAAGCACCAGGCTCTTGAGTGACTCAACAAGCAAACAGGGGATATCTGGTACCGATACCTCACCCCCTGCACGAGCAATGGGGACAAACACTGCCTGATAACCACAGGTCCCATCCTGAAAGGCCACGGTCCAGACCAGAAGAGAAGCTCCTGGAGTGTTGTTAAAATTTCCTGCTCATGGCCTTGGGCGAGCAAGTTGGCTTCTTGCACCTCAGTTCCACAGCAGCTAAAGGCAGGGCAGGGATCCTTCCTTATTCTCAAAGGCTTGAGAATAAGGTGCCAGGGTCAACCCGGTGTGTGTGCTGAGGAGGAGACGCGTTGCTTTCCCAGCCAGGCCCTCACACACCCAGGACCCCCAGCAGAAGGGGGCCGTGCATCAGGGTCCCTACAACCCCTCAGCCGCCGGGCGAGGAGCGACAACACCCCCGCAGCCCACCACCCAACCCCTCACACCCCCCATTTTCCCATATCCTCACATTTTCAGTGCACACCCATCGGGGCAGGAGGCCCCATTTCCCTTCCCGGGGCCCTCCTCGCCCGCAAGCTCCCCACACACCCACCTCGAACAGCTCGGCCGCGGCGGCCATGGCGCACGGGGATGGTGCTGGGGGGGCTCCTCAGCAGCCCTCCGCCGCCCCACCACCGCCTCCCATTGTGTCCCCCAGCCCCGGCACCGCCACCACCGGCAGCAGCAGCCTCGGCACCGCCTCCACCCGCCGGAAACAGGCTTGCGCCGGGCGGCCACCGCCGCACGCAGCTCCCGGCTCCTCCCCGGTCCCGGCCGCCATCTCCTGCCCTGCCCCGGCCGCCCCCCATTGCCCGCAGCCATCCCCCGACCCCCCCCCATAGCCCAGCGCCATGGCGCTGCGGGCGCTCTGGGTGCTGAGGCACGACCCCCGGGCTGGCGGCGCGGTGCTTTTCTCCAGGTAAAACCCTTCCTGCGGGGTTGTGCCGCCGGGGATGGGGTTGGAAGGGGAAAGGGGAGCTGGGCAGCACCGGGGTTATGCTCTCATAGCGGGGCTGAGGCTGCTCCGAGTACCCCCTGCAGCCCCCTTCCCCCCCGTCGCCTTGCGGAGCCCCGGCGATCCGCTGTTATCGCTGGGGGTTATCTGGTTTATTTTTAGCAGCTTCTGTGTTTTGCACGGGGCTTTCTCGGCTCTATTCCTCTTTTTGTGTTGGTTTCTCTTCTAAATCTTAATTTTTTAAAAGAGATTTTGCCAAGCTGCTCTCTGCTTTGATATGAATATCGATGGAAAAGCCGAGGTAGCCATTAGGAAATGCTGTCAGAGGAACAGGCAGAGCACAGAGCGTGCATTTTGTTTATAAACTCTTAGTCTTGTTCATTAATTGCACTGGAAATACAGCATTTTCAGGCAGAAATTTAACTTTCAATTTGATTTTCATCTTTGCATACAAAGAGGTTGTTAAGTTAGCGAACCAAAGCAGGACTTTTTATTATTATTATTATTCAGAACTCTTGCATAGTTTTAAGTGAGACTTCAGGCTAGGTGAGTTGGTTTGATCGGTCTGGGAAATGTACCCATTTCCTTGCACTTTATGATTCCAGAGGACTCAGTACCAAAGGACGAGAGGAAAAACAACTGGGGGATAGGGAAAGAAGAAATGCTGAGACCTGGATAAAGACGTGACTTACAGTCCTCATCTGAATTCAGAAAAGCTGGAGAGAAAACCTAGAAGGATAAAAAAGAGCAAGTAGAGTGTCTTCCATCTTCGGGTGCAGACAGCTCTCCACGCTGGGCATTCCTCTGATTGTTTTAGGATTAGTATTATAGTCCTTGTATTACCTATGAGACTAGAGATGAGGCCTCCCCTCTACAAACACAGAGAAAGAGAAAGCCGTGTCCCAAAAGTCTGCGAGTGTAATCACCAAGGAGGACGGGGGGGTGGTGACAGGGATATGCGAAGTAACTTGTCACACAGTGAGCGGCAGAGACAAGGAATAGCAGTCCTTTGAAAAGGGCAAACTCGACTTGATACTTCAAGTGATTTCCAGACTTAGATCTTTCAAGTTCCCAGAGGGAATAATAGGGCTGTGGAAACCCCAAGTTTATCCTCCTAACTGACCTTAAATTCAACAAAGCGCGTAGACAATATAAAGAATGCTGGATCACATGGAAACTGTTGGTTTCGGGACTTAGGCACTCAGCTGGAGATACGTGAGCCCTGATCTTTAACCTTAGAGAAGACATCTGGGACATCAAAGCATTCCAGTTTTTTTGAGCTGATCATAACTTAATTCAGGCAACAAGTACGGTCTCCCTCTTGAATCACCAAAGCTCATTCATCCATGGAAACTTTCATCTTTTTAAGTTTTCATCACTTTCTAGAGGGGAATACTGAAAAACCAAGATCACAAGGGGTAACTAATCATCTAATGACTCAGCTAATGCTGAGGAGGTTCAGCAGGAGGAGGAGAAGGTTGCCATGGTGTGGGGACAGCTTCAGCAAATGCAGCAGGCAGACTGGGACAGAAGACAGACAGAATTAGAGTAAAATATCTCCTCTTCCTTTGCTTTGGAAACAGCAGCTGAAGATAAGAGATGCTTACCAACATTATGTGCAGCTGCTCATCAATAACCTTGGTTGGGAAGCCCTCATAAATTTCCAAGCAGCGAAATCACACTGTTTCCTTGCTGTTCGAAATAGATGTGAGACTGTAGGGAGGCCTTTTACTGTCATCAGTATCCTGTTTACGGATCTTGTAGCTCAGGCTTCTCTCTGCTTACACTTCCCTTTTCCTTACTGGGGGAAAAAAAAAAAAAAAAAAAAAGCCCTAGATGCCTGACTTAGAAGCAAAGAAAAAAGCACAGTCAGGGAAAATAAGCATGAGGAAGCTGCCTCCAGCAAAAGACTCTGCTACTCAGTTAAGAAAAGATGATGTAGGTGGGACTTGTAGGCAATAGGGTAAGAGCCATGCAAGCGTTCAGGAACAGAAGGGGGACGTTAGGTGTGGAGGTCACAGATAAAGTACTACATTGCTGGGATTACAAGTTCCATGGCAATTTAAGAAACAGCCTGTCAACACGTCTTTAAAGAAATCGTTTAAAAAGTAGAATAATAGAAGGCTCATGTGTCCGTGGATTTGTTTCTCCCATGTTTGTTTGTAAGCGTGGACCTGAGTGCAAACAAGCATATGGCCTGAGAGCAGATCAACTGCAACGTGCTTCATGAAGTGATTTTAGTTCCCTGCATATAATCTGTGACAGGAATTTTGAGGGTGTGCAGATAACTACTATGGGAATCCACAAAGAAAAATACAGAAAAGCTAGGCTGTTATCAAACTCAAATTAAGAGAGAATCGGGGGAGTTTGTAGTTCCGAAAAAGGATGAAAACCAATCCATTAGTGGAAGTAAGCATTTTTCTTTTCTCTGCTATTTATTAAAAGACAGCTCTTAAGTTTTTCTTGATAGATTTAGGTTAGTTTTTGAAAAAAATCATCCCTCTTTCCTTTAAAATAGTACTGCTTCAGAAGAGAATGGTATGATTTTTTGCAAACATTATGTCTAGAAAATTTGAAGTGAAATATGCACATTGATGCAACATAGCAAATTTAAAATATACAAAACTTTGTCTCTGAAACATGAAGATTACATCTTAAATAATCCAAAGTCAAAAAAAACAAAAACAATGAAACAGTCATAACAGCTCTTAAGTCACACACATTGCACCTGCAGTGTAGAGTCCAGTTTGCCCCCTCACAAAACCCATGCAACTGTTGCTGGAAGTATTGGACTTAGGCACAGTGAAATCTTTTTGGCTTTACAGTATTGTAAAGATTTGTGGTTAATCTTGTTAATTGGTTAAAGCAACTGCTGCAGATTTATTGTGCAAGCTCAGAACAGCAATGTGAAGCCTGTATATAAGTAACTTCAGTGATAATTGTCCAAGAGTAGAGTAGCAGAGCTATAGCAGTAGCATACCATAGGTAGGCAAAAAGCTCTTGTAGTTGAATTTGATTCCATTTGATCCATTCATTCTTTCTATCAGGACACTACCAGTGTCTGCTGGCACGAGGTTACTTCTAGGAGCTTGACCTGCAGGAGCTACGCTGATACTTGAAACCCATCCTTGATTATGTCAATACTCCAAAGATTTTTGTGGTGTTTTTGCATTCTCTGACAGCCAGAAAAGGGATGGTGTGCTTCTGCTTCTTGGAATCCTGTTGGTATGATATTTTGGGTGGGAAGAGATGAGATTATACACTCTTATTTCCATGTTGCAGGCGTTACCCCACCGTTGAAACACGCGCGGAGGCCTTCAACGGATCGACGCATGTGGCTATCCCATCTGACAACGATTTTCTTAAAGCCTTGCTCTTTGAACTTAGGCTCACAGATGACCAGAGTTTTGTGGAGCATCGGGATACGTGTACTCGAATCGATCATTCATCGGTACGTTCAGTTCGTGTCGAAGGAGGGGATCTCTGGCCTGTGGTGGCTTTCCAGAAGAGTGGTCTGATCTATGTATGTCTTCCGCTGGTTGAGGAGACCTTGGAGCCCCGGCCACCTCTCCTTACCATCAGTGGACTCTCTCAAGGACTTGCTCTTCTGTTTGGCATTCTGGACTACATTTCGCCGAGTCGGAAAAATGAAGCTGAGATGAGTGCAAAAATAGGCCAGCTTCGAAACTTGCTTATACAGGCCTGTCCGCTCGGCACCCCCTTAAACACGAACATAAGCAGTTTAAACAGCTCGTTTGATGACATTCAGGTTATTCCTACAGATGAGAAGCAACCGGTTTGGAGATCCAACACGTATAAAGGCAAGCCTCAGGTTAATGTATCTATCACTGAAAAAGTCAAGTGCATGCAGTATGACAAGAGAGATGTTGTGGACATGTGGCAAGTTTACGGAGTGGTGAATTGCAAGGTGAGAGCATTTCTTGTGCCCGTCTCACCAAAATGCTTTTTGTGTAAGTGCACTGGGAAACTGAATTCTCATTTAATTTTACCCTGATATGTGGTGAGTGAATTTCTAATCTGGTAAAATTTGAAAGCATAGCAAACTATTACATATTAGTGTGTTAGCAGTGTTTTTTATTTTGGTCTCTACTGGTTTTTTTTCTGCACGCTTCATACATTTTTCAGTAACTATTTATGGGACTTAAATCTCCAGCAGTAGTTAAATTGCAAGTATTTTTCCATATGTTGTATTCTAAATGAAATAAGGAGAAGTCGTTTCATACAGCTTTTGCATATAAAGACTAAGAAATAGTAATGCTAACACTGAATTTGTTTCTGGCTATCTAATAAATAATTAGAAGACTCATTCAGAAATAGTTAGTCTGCAAGTGTCTTTACAGAGCATTTTTACTTAATTTTCTTACCATACAAAAATTAAATCTTCTATTCAATTACAACAAAATTTTGAATCCACATAAGAACTGTTGATACAGAATCCATGGAAATGAACTAGTAGCACAATTAATTTGAATGTTTTTATATATGACAATGGCTTTTATTGTTTAATACTAAAATTTGGGGAATGTTGACTAAATAGATTAATAGTTATTACAGAATACATTAACATTTTTGTATATTCTATAATTGGTGTATTTAACATTCTTGGTTCCAAATTATACTCCGTATATTATCACAGTACACTGTGTTTGTAACTGCCATTGTTTTAAGAGGAGAAAGACGTAATAAAAAGTGGATTGTGCTAATTTAATTACTAGTAAGAGGTGGGATACTTGTCTCCAAAGAAAGCCAACCTAAGTACTGCACTTCTGAAGACTTGCTTATTTCCCACCAGCCATGCTGGTAGGGATTATGTGGGTGAACAGCTTCCTGCTCTCAGAGGGACAAGTTTCTAGGTCATCTTGCAGAGTGGATGGTCTTACATAAATGAAAGCCTTGGTATAATCATGTGCTGCTGAGCTGGCACGCGAAGGGACAAGACAATGGAGGCACTGCACATGGTTGCTGTGAGAAAGCTGACGTGGGACCACAGTGGCCATTAATAGCATGCTGCAATCCATTAAGCGGATGTTGTAAAAGTAACTGAATTAATTAGACTGTCACCAAGTCTGTTTATGTAACATTCAAAATGATTTAGCTATAGCAGTAAGTCCTCGGCTTGCTTATGTGCTGTTCTGCTGCTAAAGAGCACTTCTCAATTAAGAGACATCTAGCTAAGGCTGCATCACTAGCCGTACAGGAGAGGCTACAGAACTGAGAAAGGGACTTTGTTTTGAAAGTATTTGTCAGTACTAACATTTGAAGCCAGCTGAAAAATTTTAGTGTGATGGTTTAATACATGTATTTGTGTTTGATTTTTTGAACATCTAATTCTGGCTTAAGGGAAATATTGTAGAATAATCTTTTGTCTTCATTTTTTCCCAGTGTGATATAGAGGGAGCTGCGCCAAATGTAACCCTCACTTTGAATCTCCCAACTAATGGCTCTCCACTCCAAGACATCCTGGTCCATCACTGCGTGACTTCTGTTGATCCTGCCATGCTCATGTCCAGCAGCGTCGATCCACTGGATGATTCTGTGTATAGTGGACCTTACAAATTTCCTTTCATTCCTCCTTCAGATTCATTCAACTTGTGTTACTACACTTCCCAGGTAATAACATCCCTGACCCTTGTTGTTTTCCAGCCCTCAAACAGGAATGAAAATACCTGTGGTGTTGAATGCATCTAAATAGGACTTTCAGTCCAATACAGGCAGGTAAACTGTTCTTTATATCATAAACTGTTTGGGAGGCACTTCAGGACTTGAGTCATCTGCATCACTTTCAGAACGTGCCAGTACCTTTGACTGCTTTTAATTTGTGAGCAACTTAGATGCCTGAATTAGACAGAACGAATCCAGGCTGAGATGTCAAGTACATCCATGGCAAATCTGTGTATTGTAAGCAGCCCAAAGAGTTTGATGGATACTGTTCAAAACCGCTCAGCAATTAACAACTTTATTTTTTGAAGTACTTTAGCAACTAAAACAGTATATAACTGATCTTATAATGGTATTGTTAACATATCTTGAGAATTAATGTGGTTTTCTCTAGGTGCCTGTTCCACCAATTCTGGGATGTTACCAACTCATTGAAGAGGGATCACAGTTAAAGTTAACAGTTAATTTGAAGCTTCATGAAAGCATAAAAAATTCTTTTGAATACTGTGAAGCTCGTATACCTTTTTTCAACAGGTAAGAATAAAGAAATCCTAAATAGATTTCTTCCTTTCCTCTGTGATCTTCTGAAAATTAACCTGTCAGGAGTCAATGTAACAGATTGTGCCCCATCAAAGACACCAACTTTGCAAATATTGGGAAACAGCCTTGGAATTCTTGTGACTTCTGACCAGAGTATTTGGTAACATTCTCAATACTTCCATTGAGTATCCTGTTTCCCTGTGTTATTTTTTTTAATGTGAAATGCTGCTACAATCCTCCAGGTGGATTATGTCTTGAGAACACTTCTAAACCAGGGTTACCTGTTCCTTAAGACTGCTAATCCTAGCTACAGATCAGCTTATCAAAAATACAGTTATTTAAAATTAAAACGATAGTTTTCATGTAAGCCTCTCTGACAACTGCAGTAACTGCACTGTCACATAATTATAATGAAAATTTACAGATGAAATGATACAGAGTTGCTGATGGTGATCATAGGGTTAGTAAAATGCTATCAGTGAACTAAAGACAGTAAAATATCTATAGCTCTCATGATTACTAGGTTGAAACCACAGTGATTTCCTCCTGCCCTGTAATTTCTTTCTAGAAATTAGCAGTTTGTTTAGATACGTGTGATTTGTCTGAATGCACGTAAATAATGTCTTTCAGCGTTTGTTGCTTTCTTTAACAAAATTATTGTTAACAAATAAGTGAATGGTATTAATTCCAGTGGCTTTATTGCTCCTTTTTCATGCTGTAGGGGCCCAATCGCTCATTTGGAGTACAAAGTTAGTTATGGCCAACTGGATTTGTCACGAGAGAAGAGCCTACTGGTTTGGATCATTGGTAAGTAGAATACCCCTGTGCACTCATCCTTCCCCCCATTGGTTTTCTCTAGCGTAAGCACAGCTGTATCATTTCTTATAGATGCTGTTTCTGGCTTTAGGACAGAAGTTCCCTAAATCTTCAGAAGTTTCTCTTACTGGAACTGTGACTTTTGGTGCTGCAGGTGAAGAGCACCCAACTGACTACATTTGCACTGGGAACACGGCTTATGTAAAAGTAAGTCATAGTCTCTGTGAAATGCTGCCTTAATAGCCATTTTTTTATTATCTTAAACTGGCTATGAAAATACATTGATTTTAATGGGTTGCACTCGGTATAGAGTCTTCTGTTGTCTTACTTACAGGATTTGATGTCCTGTCTTTTTGGGGTAAGCTTGCACACACAGAGCATCTAGCACAGGTTGCCAGTATTTGCACAGCAGCCATTATACTATGCATCTTACCATGTATTTCCTCTTTCTGTAGATGTATTTTAGGATCCCAGACTTCACACTTACTGGATGTTACGTAGACCAGCATTCCGTCCAGATCTTTGCACCAGGAAAACCCAAAATTACTGCATGTGAGTTACTAAAAATGTCAATTATAACTTCAGTATGCAGTTTCTTATAAATAAATCAGATATCAATGATTAAAATAACATAGATAAAATTGGACAAATCTTTATCCTTGTTTCCTTGGGACATCCCAGAAATTTTGTTTTCTGCTTTGTACTTTTTTATTGCAATGGTTAGTGGTTTCTTGGAGTAGGGACTGGCATCACCTTTTTAGATGAAAGCTCTTACTGCTAAATGACCAAGTCAAGCCTTCTCAGGCTCTCTTGCATTCACCCTGGTGTTTTATAATGTTCTGCATAATGGCAGAACTTTATAATAATTGGGGGACAGAGAACACCTTGCTGTAGTCTTGCCTCTTGTTTAGGACACTTATTTGAAGATATGTGTGGACTGGAAGTATGGTCTGCAGGCACAGAACTCAGCTCTTGCACACAAGCTGAGACTGTTGCTGTCTGTTGGTGTCATCATACCATTATCTGTTGGGGGATATGGTTCATTAAATCTGTGGAGCAGAAACCACTGCCTGTTCTGGAGTTAACATGTCACTTCTTACATGTCTGCACCAAAAATATACTAAGTGGGAACACAGTCATGAAATCTGGCAGTCATTAAATCTGAGCATTACCGTATAATAGCAACGTTTTTTCTTTGCTGCTTTCTATCTACTGCAGTTTCTGTTGGTCGTGTTAGAAATAGTCTGTAAATGCCTTGAAAACTGTGATCTACACTGTTAAGTTTGTGATGGGTCACGTTCAGTCCTAAACTGTAACACAAAAAAGCATCACTTTCATACTGTGTTTTATATCAAGTATGCGATTTATATTAATTGAACAAAATCTGAGACATCTTCTTGCTCTTGACTTAACCTCTGAATTTTAAGCTTATGACTAGTACATTAGTAAAGGTAATTGAAGCTGAGATTTTAAATGTATTATTATCAGAAATAATTTTCAAATAATAGTAAGGGTCTTACAGTTTAAAGAGGCCAATACATCCTTACTAGTTTACAGAAAAGATATATTAGCAGTCTCTTAACTTGGATGAAAGTATATCTGATTGTTAAGTACCCTGTAATGTTTGTTTTTTGTTTCTTTTTTTTCCCATTTGTTTTTTAGCCCGGGAACTGATTTCATCTGATTATTACATCTGGAATTCTGAAGCATCAGCACCTATCATGTACAAAAGTTTATATTACTGATGTAATTGTGAATGATTTTTGTGATTAAACAAAATAGGGAATTAAAGCAATACCATGATATAATGAAAATAAATTTGATCCAGTGTTCTTTTGTTTGTTTAAAAACCATTTGTTGTGATTAAAAACAAATGAATTCACTTCTCTTAAAAACATAAATTTATTTTAGATTGTTTAGCCCTGGATAACAGCCTAGAGAAGATGTTTTGAATTGTTTTCCCTGGTCATTTTTACTCTCCATTCTAACATTAACTGATACAATACCCAGTGATACAGATGGTACAGACTGGTTTGTGTGGGCAGGTCTTCTGGGAGGATACCCAGTTACTTCATTGGTTTTGTGAACCAAAGAGCTTACCAAGACATGAAAGCTTTCAGTGTCTTACTCACTTCCTGAAGTTACAAGAATCTGATTAGTTTCCTGATAAGCAGGACCGTCAAAAGCAAGAGTTCTGTTCTTTTCACAAGATTATTTTGTGTATGTATGTACAGAATGTATGAGTCAATAATTTACAAGGGTCTTAAGAGAGACAGTGTGACATGAACAGTGCTACTAAAAGGGGAGACAGTACAGGAATCTTTATGGCCTCTGTCAGTAAAAGTGGTGAGTTCCCCTTCATACATGCATGCAAACTAATTAGTATTAGTGAGGAACCAGAGATGTAAACCCATTTTTTCAAATCACAAGACACTCTGAGGAGGCAAAAGCAGCTAAGCTTGCTGGAGGTTCCAAAAAAACATCACCAAGCCATTTACCTTAGAAAAATAAGCATAAAAGAAAAGGACTCAGTTTACAGAGGCAGACCTCTAATTTTGAAAAGAAAATTGGTATCTGCAGGAACACAGGAAATGGACTTTAAGAGAGTTATCAGGAAACGAGCAAATTCTGAAAGGCTGGTGAAAAACTGAGAGAACCTGGAGAGCAGCACAAAAGAAGAGAAGAATGCCGTCTAATAACCGAGCACGCCGGCTGCTCCTGCTATACCTCTTGTTTAACTGTACGCTGTGAGATAAATAAGATTAATGATTATGTACGGAGAAAAGTTTTAGGCTATAATTTAAAAAACGCTTAGATCGAGACAGTAATCTAATTGGTTGGTTAAATGTTCTGAAGGGTGGATTAATTCATCTGAACCATGACATTCAGCTGAAACATGCAAACTTACACGAGAGCGCTGTGCTATGACTTGTTTCACAAAAGTGATGCATCTGTTCTGATTAGCAGACAAAAGGTGAGTTAATGAATTTGCCCAGAATCCAGCCCCCGCTCATTACAGCCATCTGCATGCCTCAACACCACAGTGTTGAGGTCTTTCTGTTGAAAAGGTGTGGATCATGTTCTGCATCGTTCAATGCAGAATTTCAGTATGTGGTGTTTGCTTTCAGCCTGTCTGTAAGAAAGATGGGAGCTGTCTGTTCCGCACTGCAGCACCGTGGAGGAATGGCTTTTCTTCTTCACAGGTGTTCAAAGAGAACTCCCCAAGAAATGCTCTGAAATTATAAAGGGAGTGTCAAAATTCTGTGCAGTAGAATAGGAGGATCACTTTGCAATTAATGGAAGGAGGGGGGAGAAGGCTTCACAAATCGTGTTCCATTTCTTTTTCCTCTTGTCCATGTTTCCAGTTGTCACATGCAATAATCAAATGGTCTTGTGTGACAACCACGAGACAGCCATGCTGGTGGAGAGAGGGTCAGGTGAAGGCATTCCCAAAGGGCCCATTCTCATGGATCTTGTGAATTCTTATTTTTTCTCTTTGACGCTTTTGGTACGGAGCACTATTTCTTCTGTGAGAGTGCTTAAAGTGCTTATATTTATAATTTCATCACAGGTGTAGACTGTATGAGATCTATACAGACAGCTTTGCACAGAGAGTTTTTCAAGAACTGGCCATGGAGTTCTCCAGACTTAGTACTGCATTTCAGAGGACTAGAAAACTAACATGCAAATCTTTGAAAAAAATAGACAGAAGGATGTAAATAAGTATTGTTTGTCAACCCAACATTGTTCCCAAATAAAACTATGGATATAAATAGGAAAAAAATCTAATTCAGAACTGACTTCATTAAAGTGTACTTGCCATCTCATAAAAAAATTAGGGGTAATGTAACTAATGCAAATTAACATTAATTTAAAACAAAAATATAGTACAAAACAAAGTTTTTAGATGAGACTGCACATTTATTTGGGAAAGAGAATTGGTGTAACAGACCTCTGAAAAATTAAAATAATGCAAAATCCATATATAATGTAAAAACTGGCTGACATTTCCAAACACAGTGGTAGCGGGGAAATGTCATCAAACATGTTTTGGATCCCAGCTGTGTTATTTAGCACTTAGTGGAAGGTGTGGAAAGAAACAGAAAATTTGCATTGATGAAGTTCACAGAGGGTGTGAAGAGCAAGATGCAATATTTACTGTCTGTGCTGAAACCCTCATTCAGGATGGTCTGAATGTTTCTGGGGGGAGGAAAAAAAAATTACTAAAAACAAATTAATAAAAGAAAAGATGTTCCAGCACAAGTGCAAAAGTATCAATCCGAGAACAAATGCCATTGATACGTGGTGCAAGGGAGAAGACCAAGGAGTGTCAAGTCCTAGCAGGAGGTTTAGATGCACGTTCTGTGGCCAGAAGGGCCAATGCAATCACTGGATGTTTAAGGAGGAAAAATACAGAAGTATTTAGCACTGGTGCAGTTGTCACCAACCCACACTGCCCCCATTTCTTCAAAAATGTCTGGGTTGAAGCTACTGAGAATTGGTGAGCCCTCACCAAGGTTTCTTTGGTTCTCCACCCATTGGCTTCCCTCAGTATGACCTGCCTCTCCCTCATCGTGTGATGTCCAAAGGGTTGGGGTTTTCCAAGGTGCTGAGGTGAGGACAGGCATCCCCTTGGGTGTCTTGTGTGCACTCTCCCCCCTCCAAATCTTGAGCTGTACCAGAATCAAGACAGGACCAGTAAGACCCTCTTCCCTCAACTGGAAACTACGGCTGGACAACAGCTTCCCAGCCCCCTGGGAGCACCCTACCACCTCCATCACCTCCACCATATCTCCTCACTTCCTGGTCATGTCGGTCATGACAAGCCAAAAGCACCACCAGTGCCCATGTGTGAGACACCAGGTGTCCCCCCCAAATCCACATGGCTTGTTCCTCTCACTGCAGAAAGGAATTAGTCTGCCTAATGTGGCTCGATGTTGTCAAATCCGTGCTGCCTGTTACTTACCACCACTCGTCCTAGAGGTAATCTGTTGCTTTTCTGTTTCTCTTCCTCCTACCAAGCTACTTGGTGACACCTCCAAGATTGTCTCTGCCAATTCCTCAAGTACTTAGGGGTAAATCCTGTTACTTCAGATAATTTGTAAGCAGCTACTTTTTCTACACACTGCCCAATTTATCCCTTCCCTCCTCTCCATTTATATGCTCTTTTTCAACAGTGTTAATTACTTTGGCCAATTGGCAATGAGTAAACACTGAAAGAACAAAGCATCTACTTGTTCACGCTAGCCTAGAAATCTGCCACACTTTGTCCTATTTGTACAAGCCCTGCTGACTTTCAGGTCATAGCACAGCTTGTGAGCAAGCCCGTGTTTGTCCTTCATTACATTTGCCTTCTTCATCACCACCTACCTCTACCCTCGTTCTCTCATCCTCTTCCTTTAGAAAAGACCCATTCTCCTGGGCAGCCTTGTCTCTGACTTACTGCCTAGAGGCTCCCACTGTCATTTGGTCCTGTTACCCCTCGTCCCCATGACTGGAGTTCTCCAAGGTTTATTTTACTGCTGCTATTTCCCACAAAGAGTTTTGTGGATCCCAGTCTGGGAAGCAGCAGGGGTAGCTGCTATAGCACTGTCTGGCTGTCAGTGGGAATCCCACAGAGGCACCTTGGGTTGTTCCTAAGCTCTGCTCCCATCGTGCCACCCCCAAGTTATTCAGGCACAGAAAACATTTTTAACTCTCAGTCTGACGCCCACTGATGTCAATGCTAAAAATTCCTTGGGCACGAATTAGACACTGTATGGACCCGGTGTGGGCTGCTTGGCGAGGTGCATCTCTGGGATTATCTAGGATGTTTGCCCTAAGATGCTCCAACCCACCAATTTTTGCAGAAATGGAAAGATGATTCATGCGGGGGAGGAGGATCTGAGAGGAGTAAATAAATAAATAAGCTTTGTTGTCCTAAAAATGTGAATTCTCTAATTTGTGAACAAACAGGAAGGAAAGCAACTGGCCCTCTGCCCCCACACCCAGGCCCAGAGGACTAAGGGTTCATGGCCTTCTGCTGCCTTTCCAGGAGATAGGACACAGCAGCGTGTCCCCCAGAGGCTTTCAGGAGAAGCCAGCATCCTTGGAGCTTGAGTGCTGGTCCCTAAGGAGCTGCACCATGCGTGGGATGCCTGGAGGGATTTGCAAACAAGTTGGTGGGGCCATGGAAAAGCTGGAAAACAGAGGAGCTGTGCTCCTCCAGGGGCAAGGGTGGCCTTGCCACCCCCAGAGGGGCTCCTGTGGCTCTCCCAAAGGTTTTCTGTCCAAGCTGCACCTGTCAGCATAGATGGCTCATCCCATATGAATCGAGCCATAGGATGACAGGATGAACCCACATGGAGTTTTTTTCAGGGACTCAGATCCTGCAAAGCAACTAAAAACCCATATTTTAGGGCAAAGGCCTGCTCCTTTCCCTTTTCTGCCTTCATGGAGCATCTTAGACCCCTGGCTGAGCTCTAGATAATTTTTTAGTGGAGACATGTAACAGCAGAGAACTAAACCCAGCCTATTTTCTCCCCATTGAGATCAGCTGGCCGCGATGCTTTTGATTTTCTCTAGAAACCTATCTCTTCAGGATCTTTTTTTTTTTTTTTTTTGAAGTCAAAGTCTGTTTCCCGTTTGGTAGGTGACCTGTTTAATGTTTTCCCTGTGTCTGGGAACTCCTTAGTGTAATTAGCGACCTTTGAACTCCACAACTAATCCCGAGCTATTTTGTATTCCTTACTCATCTTTAAGGCTGGACCTTTCTTTTCTTTTGAGTCCGCTGCCACAATTAAAGAAGAAACAGCTGCATTTCAAAGGGATTCCAATTCCAGAAGCTTAATCGT